GACTCTGCAGGAAAGAGAGGCTGGCATCGTGGATGTGCACAAAGAATTTAGGCCAAGACAGCCTTATCTCCTATTCATTTGTACGAAAGATCTGCCCTGTTGCCTCCTTTGCTCACCCCGGGATTCTGAAATGGTTTAAAGATTGGCAACAGGGCACTTGAGAGGAAAACATTAAACGTTTACATGATTTGGGGATTTCTGAAAAGACCTCATGTTTAAAGCAGAGATTCTAAGGGGTAACAGGATCACCTGCACCATTTATTAGCTTTGAGACACTGGGTCCCACACAAACTGCTCTGCACTGGTTTCTCCTTTATAAAATGAGTTTACCACCATCTACGTGTATGAAAGTAAAATGAAATTATTTCTGAGTGAGGTTATAGTCTGAAAATTATAAAGAACTACAAAAATGTCAGTTATTTGTATTCTGAGTTAATTTTATCTCATTTAAAAGTATGTTTTAAAGATTATACTTAGTGGTATTGTACTTAGCAACGTTAAACAATAATGTAAATGTTTGCCCACTGAAATTGGTTCTGTTATTTACAAATAAAATTGTCTCAAGTATGGGAAAAGAAAAATTCAGGACTCTCTGCTCTGTTCTACAACTATTCTGTAAACAAATAATGAATTTGTTACTATATAGTGTTCCCACTATCATGAGTAATCACAGTAAAACTAATGATCAGAACTCTGTAGGGTCACTTACACGCTCCCCTCACCCTGCCAACAGACACACAGACGCACAAGAGCAAAGGGAGAACTTGATCTGTGGGCAGTAAAGATGGTCAGGTATGAGAAGAGATCATTGGGGCTCAGGCTTCTCTTCTAGTGCTCATCCACCATTTTTACCAGACCCAGAAGAATAACCAGTTTGATTAAAACAAAACAAGCTATTTTTCTCCTGGCATTAAAAAGAGGGGGCAAAACCACTAACCACATCCCCAAGGAACCCAGGCACCTGTTTGGGAAGTGGCAGGATTTTACAGTTACTCCCTGTTTATCTAACACCTTCAACTGAAGATCTCAAAATACTTTGCAAACATTAATTAAGCCTCTCAATTCAGGAAAGGATTAGGACTATTTCAGATAAGAAAAATAAAGAGGCTGTTAACATTAAGAATCAGAAAAGAAAATAGATTCTAGCACCTTTGGCTCACTCAATGTTGTCCTTAAGCTACACTCGATGAAATGACCCAAACAGTAGCATCTGCAATAACGACAAGCCCAGAAGTTTACGCTTTTTAAAACTGAAGCTGGGAGGTGACAATATTGGCCTTGGTTAGAGTTAAGACCAGTGTGCACAATGGTTTTATGATCCTGAACAAGTCGCTCAATTTATTTAAACTTGTTTCCTCTTCTGTAAAACTAGATCAAATCTACCCTACAATGTTGCAAGGATCAAATTAAATTATGTATGCCTGGTACATGGAAAGCCAGGCTGCTTTCTTTCCCCAGACTTCACCTTCCTTAAACCCACAGATAACACATTTTTTAAAAATTATATATAGGAGGAAGAGGGGTGGTAGAAGAAGATAAAGGGGGTCAAATATATGGTGACGGGAAGGAGAACTGGCTCTGGGTGGTGAACACACATTTCAATATATAGATGATGTATTATAAAATTGTACACTTGAAACCTATATAATTTTACTAGCTAATGTCACCCCATTAAATTTAATAAAAATTTAAAGAAATTAAAATTATATATAAAGTTGTTATAATTCTTGTAGCTAATTAAAAAAAAACTCTGGATGATAACTAATCCAATACTTGGCTAAATTAGGAAATGGCCTAATTCTTTAATAACTTCCAAATCAGTAATGGTTTAAAGTTGTCATCAAGATTGTAAATTAATTCCTGTCCATTTTTATTGATGTGAGCAAAGTCAGATTGACTTCGAGAAATAAAAAACAAAAAGGGAGCTATTCCAGAATGATAATCAGTGGTGCCACATTTCTCAGTTAAAATTCAAGGAAATTCACATTTCAAAAAAGGAGTTAATATACTATTCCCAAATTAACCATGCAGTGTTCACTTAAATTCCTTTGGTTCAGAAAATAGACTGACAGTGTCTGTAAAACGTGGATACCATATAAATTAACCTCTTAAGGCCAGTAAGATCACCAGACTACCCCATATAAACAAAAACTTCCAAGAGCCTACATGGTCCTTTCTGATACTTATTAACTGAAAGTGAAAGTGACCTACCATAGATAGACAGGATAGATAAAACAGTACTTTTGACCACATCACTTCAAAGTAATTTAGAAGCCCCATCTCAGTGAGGTTAAATAACACACCCATCTCTAAACAAATGTGGCAGAATAGAAAACAGAAGCTAACTCTTACTCCCCTAGACCCTCTCCGAGGACTTCTTTTGAAAGAGACAAACAGGAGCATCATGGAAATCTTTAAAGAGCTTTGATATGTAGGCTACAATGAAGAGCCCTTCTTAACTCCTTTGAAGTAAAGGATCACGCAGCTTTTTACTAGCATTACATTTAAACTCTGCAAGGAGTTCCTAGCATCTTTTTGTCCCCCCAAAATGACACACAAGAATAAAACGATCTGCCCAAGGTCAAAGAGCAGGTAAATTACCACAGTCTGACTCCCAACTACTTAGATAAGCCTCTCTTTGCTGCGTGCAACCATTCATGGGATGTACTGACAGTAATACATAGTCAGATTTCAAAAAGTGGGGGGAGGAGGGTCTCCAATGAATGCTCCAGATAGCGAAATCCGGTAGTGAAATTATGTCTCTGCAGATACTGCATATTTTCTCACTGACCTTAAAAAATTCAGCATACACGGTGCATTAGAGACCCTCATCAAGAACTCAAGATCAGAGGGACTGGGAGACACGTTTTCTCCTACCAAATCAACCTCTAGGCATCCTTCTTTCTCAGTGACCCACTGCTTCCTGGACAAAGAAAGGGTCTGTTTACTCCTCACCCTGCCCAAAGCAGCAGTGTAAGAACCACAGGGGGCCTCCCAATAGCTTGGCACAGAAGACACACAATGTCCAGGGTGCCCCCAGAGTTCTGCCAGTGAGCTGTCTTTTCTCCCTAGTGCCATTCTCATCATCCCCAACTTTCAGTAGAAGTGGTCAGGGAGAGCACACCTCCTGCAATGCTGCTAAGTAAGCCACTGGCCAAATGGACACACCTCTCCGAAGCGTTGCCCCTCAGAATATTCTCATTCCGTCTTTTGCCATAGATCCCCTCAGTAAGAGATGCCCCTTACTTACCTCTAGACAGAGGGGCATTTACCAGACAAGAAACTGCTGCGCTTCCTGACTTGATGGGTGGCTCCCCCCTTCACCAGCTGCTCAGCCCCCGCCTCAAGCTCTTGGGCAGGGGTGGGGGTGTTGGGTGCCTTCACCGCAACTCGTCTGGGCTTGCGGATGATTACCAGTTACCAACTACCCTCAGATGCCGCCTCCCTCTCCACGCATCATCCCTCACTTCTCCCTCCACGCTGAGAGACACAGACACAGACACAGACACA